CAGTGCTGCGGGTCAATGCTCATGCATTGGATGAACACGGCTCCATGGAGGAAGCGCTATGGCCCGCGCTTCAAAGACGCAGTTTGGGAGCGATGGATCCTCAGCTTGTGAGGAGCAAAGCGGATGCGCAGTCCAGGCAGCACGGTTGCCAGATCTACCGATGTTGAGGGCCAGTCAACGTTTAGTCTGCACTCGACGAAATCCACTTTGTTAGGCTTGCGCCTTGGTGACACGTTTAGCTCGAAGCTTGCCAGATGGGCTCGCCTACACTCCAAGGTCAGGACGAGCCCCTGAATGCAGATGAATCTATGACAGGACCGTCGAAGCCCTGAATGTGTGCCGTATACCTGACTTCTGGCATTTTCACTCAAAGGTGCGAATGTAATTAATGAACAAAACGGTGCAACACGGCAACAGCCCGACCTGAGCAGAAGATTCGCTCCTCCGCGCGGCGGCCCGTTCCTGGGGCCCGTCTCCGATGTACCTCGAAACAGCTGTGAAAAAAACCCAGGAAACACCCAAGGCATGCTAGGCCCGCTAGGCCACAGGCCAAGCTCGAGTGGCTCATAAATAACACCGTTTGGGGTTGTCACCTGCGCTCCGGGCCAGGCCCAACTGGCCGAGTCGGCTCGGGTACGATTTTGCCGCCACACCTTCTGACCAACAGAGGTTGCAACCAGATCCGCCGGGATGGAACCTGGAGGAACCTGCGGAACACGCTGAGCCCTGCGCTGACAAGGACACCTTCAGCTCCGAACCTTCTCCTCGGCAACTGCTGTTTGTGGCAGGCTCAGCCTCAGCTTTTGTTGATGGTGGCTCTACGATTGCAGGTCCCATGTTAAAGACAAGGCCCAGACGCAGCTAGTGATGCGGTCAGGGCGCCGCGACGGTCCAAAGTCGCCGGTCGCCTGGAGTTGACGGCTCTGCCAGTTGGAGGCAACAGGCACCTCTTGGATTGGTACTTCGGCAACGAAAGCCAGGTTGTGGAATTCCTGCACATGCACCGCAGGAAGATACTTGGTGAGGCCAGCACATCGAAGCAGAATCAACAAGCCAGTTTGCAGATGAGCTGCCAGCTTTGCCAAGACACCTTGCAACCACCGCAAGACACAGGCTGTCAGGAGGCTACTGTCCAAGACAGCAACCTAGAGCACGTGGAGTAGACCCCAAACAGCACAGACGAGTAAGACTGGTGCAGGTGCGAGGATTTCGCGGGTTCGTGACGGTGAGCGAGGAGGGCTTTCGACGCCCGTGAGAAGAGCTGGGCAGGAAGGCTACCACTAGAGCGGTGCGACGAGTCCCCTGCAATCCGGGCCCACGGGTTGCAGTGGTTGTGCCCCCGGCAAGGCGTTCCACAAGCATCACTTTCTCGGCTGCAGTAGGCACATTACAGCTGCAGGGTCCAGTCCAGGTCCATTGGTGCTCCACAGACTGGTCGGGCCAGGGTCTTGCACTCACTCCACGTTACTCTCAATCCCCAAGTAATTCTACGGTGAAGCCTCACTAAACAGGCCGCATGGGGAATCGCGGTACAACAATCCAACTTTGCAATTGTGAAGCTCGGAATGGACACGTTTTCCCCAAGGCCACAGAATGAAACTCCGGGGCTCTGTAGCTACTCCGTCCATCCAAAGCTCGCGAAGCATTCACCTGTCCGAGCTTGGTTGTCGCAGCTTACCAGCACAATGCCACGAATTATCACGGCAAATCAGTGGTGTTCTCCTGAAAAGTCCACGTAGGTTGACCAGATTCATCTACCTGGAGGCGAAGCACATGTGTGTGGAACCGTTGCAGTGACGGTCGGTGAGTTATGGAAACCACGCTCATCGCTTCACACGATGTCGAGCTTCCGCGAAGATTCAGCAACTGCTGATAAAGCGCTTCCTCTGTTGGCTCATCCAGAGCCGAGGTTGCCTCATCCAGGATAGCCAAGTTCGGCTGCACGAGGAGCAGTCGACAAAACGCACATCTTTGCCGCTCACCCCTGGAGAGCACAGCTTCCCAGTCAGCACACGCTTCCAGATCCTCTCCATACCGAGAGATGACATCGTCAAGGCAGGAGCACCGGGCTGCTGCAAGAATGTCTTCATCCAGGAAAGTATTGGGAGCAGACGGAAATGTTAGCACTCGCCGCAACGTGCCCTCTGGCATGTAAGGGTCTTGCGGAAGAAAGACGACAGGACTTGCATGCCGAATGCTCCCAACTCCTCCATCCCACAAGCCGGCCAACGCACGGACGAGAGTAGTCTTGCCAGCACCGGATGGTCCGAAAACAACCAAACGTTCTCCTGGCTTCAAATTAAATGACAGCTGATCATAAAGCAAAGATCCATCTGGTAAAGTGAGCGACACCCCGTCCATTCCGATGGTTTCAGCACGACTCTTCTGTGGCTGTGGTAGTGGTAGCGGGTGCTCTGCACAATGCAGCGCTTTTGACAGTGCTTGGCTGAGGCCTTCCAGTCGGCTGCCCTCTGCAATCAAGGCAGACACAGAACGGAATTTTCGGACGACCACGGTCAAGGCACCAAGCGAAACTTGAAAGGCCATAACTGCCTGCGGCACCGTGCCAAAAGGCACCTGATCCTGAAGCCAGAGCGGAGCCACGATTGCGACCGGGAGCAGGTAAGCAGCCCAGCTGAAGCATTCTCGAAAGGTTCCCAAGCTGGTCCTCCAGAATGCCCTGGCCCATTGTTGCTGCCGCAGACTGCTGTACCGACCATGCGCTTCGGTGCCTTGCAGGATCGCTTTGAGACCCACAATAGCTTTCTGCTACACAGATTGGCTTACTCTAGCTACTAGCTGACTCCAGCTTTGCTTCACAGCTTGGGTGCTTTCCGAGGGCTCACCGCGACACAGGCAAAGCGGCTCGGCACGGTCCAAGCAGCGGGCGATGGACTTGCGAAATGCTGCCTCCTCTGACTTGATCGTCCGATCCAGTCGAACCAATGGGGCTCCGAAGAATTTGACGGTGGCAAGTGCACCCACCCCAGCATAGGCGGCCATCACCAAACAAAGCACAGGCGAAATGCTATACACAACTCCCATAAACCCCGAGAGTTTGAGAACATTCTCAAAAACGTCGCGCAACATGAGAACAAGCATATCGGCAAAGTGACCGGCTTCCACAGCGATTCTCATGTCTGGGTCGGGTACATCAGCCTTGCGTCGCAGCCAGTACACAACTTTTGGGTGAAAGTATTCTCGGAGCAAGCCGTCAGTAAGGGCATTCCGCCAAACAATTGTTAAACCACCCGCTGCAAACTCGGCCAGTGATCGTAAGGGCATTGTTGCAGCCAGCAAAACCATTGCGAGCCCAAGTTTGCTGAAGAAAAGATCGCCGTTTCTTTGCGATAGTGCCGTCATGTAATCCCGCTGCGCAAAGGACTGCGCGACAGCTGCAGCATTTGCAAGGGCAAGTGACATCAACAGCAGAAACATGAAAACGAACGATCTTTGCGAGCGAGCCCTGCCAAAGGTCAGGCTTGAAGCAATGCGTAGTGCAGCAGACAACCCACCAGGCTCCGAAGACCTTCTCGGAGAGGACGGCACTTTCCTCCTGGCTCGATGCCAAACACGAAACAAATAAACACACACAGCCCCCTTAAAACACCCAAGCTCACAACACCCGAAGACGACTTCTTGTACAGTTGCCTCTTCATGCATCCCACGAGAACAGGCAAACCCATTGCCAGAAGTGCTGCTGCAGCCACCAGGCCCCAAGTAGGACATGACACCAAGGACTGACTCACAGCCTGGATGTTCCACCTGCGCAGGTTGCGCGACGAAGTTTTCAGTGAGTCAGCTGGTGCACTGGAGCCAGCAAGAGCCATTGCTCCATCAAATCGTGTCAAACAAGGGATGGGTAACATGACATCATCATGAGGCTAAACGGCTAAACATGGCAAGCGGGGGCAGGCACGCTCGCAAAGTGCAACACGGCATGTCGACCCACACCGTTTCTTCGTCCGATGCCACACCCCAACCCAGAAAGCTGGCTCTCAAGCTTTGCACAACACCCGCTGCCGGTCATGTAGCTGTAACTTTCAACGAAACCTCCAACCAGCACTGGACAGGTTTCGCTATTGAGGGCGCTGCTATCGCAGCAATGATGGACAAGCGCACTAGCCGAAGGCAGGGCAGCCTGGCAACGACTCAGACAGGAAAGAGCAGGGAAACGACATGCTGTCTCTTCAGCAGAGGCCACCTCCGCTGGGGAGGTCTTCGCACCCGCGATGCAGCCATTGGAAGCCCCCGGATGGCTCGGAGAAACGTGCAAAAAGCTGCAGCCAGACATTCTCGTGAAATTGTTGAGGCATGGCATAGCGACTTCCTTGCACTATCTTGCACTTGTTCCCTGCGCTATGATTTGGGAAAGCAGAAGCTCAAAGAACCTAAACAAAAAGCTCTACGTCCACTGCCTGTGAATCTTGTCCTGGGCCGGGGTTTCATCGTTATTCATAATCACCCTCTTCTTCTTCATCAGTGTCGGCATCATCATCATCATCTTCTTCTTTTCGCCAACCGAGGCTGCCGGTACTCCAGTGCACCTCAAGGCCGCGAGGCCGAGGGAATGCTCCCGGGAAACCTGCAGGACTTGCAGATCCAGGTTTCGGCGCTGCCGGATCAGCCACCCTTGACCCAAGTGAGTTGAAAGCAGTTGGCCACGGAGAGTAACTGCACCTTTCGTGGCGGCTTAGAGTTGCAGGTCGGTGAGCAGCAGTTGCAAGCTGGCTGAGGCGCTGCAGAGGGGCCCGAGAGCCTGCACGAACTCGGCTGCATCACCGTCTTCCGAAGGCCTGGGCGGCTCTGGCGGCTCTGGCGGCCTTGGCGATGCGAGTTCAGAGTCGGCCTCTTCGTCTTCTGAATCTGTATTTGCGAGCTCCTGCTCCGGAATCTGCGTGACCTGCGGTTCGGTTCGTTGTGGATGGAGGAACTTCACCACGGCCATGAGCATCACCAGCGCCGGCTCCGTTTCCGCTCGCAGCAAGGCACGAGCGGTCTCACGCAGTGCTTGGGGTCTCTGCTGGGCTAGTGATGTGGAGCAGCTGGAGAGCAGCACAGGCAGGAGGATGGGGTGCAAAGAAGGGAGATTCTGTAATGCCTCCAGAACCTTCGCAGGCTCGTTCCAGTGAAGGCACGTGGCCCAAAGCTCCAAGCCAAAGCGCAAGGCCAGCGCAGAAGGCGTCAGGAAAGCCCGCCGACACGACTGCCAGCACCAAGGCCTCCGAAGCCTCTGAGGAGGCCTTCGCGTGCAGAAGGCGCTGCGTTAGGACCCTGAGTCGAGAGGAGGCACGAAGTAGATTTGCGACCTCGGCGCTGAGCTGGCAGAAGATGGTTGTAAGTGGGCTGGAGTCCAGGTGAGCCAGGGAGACCAAACAGCCTGCTGCTGGTGCCCACAAACCCTCGTCTTTTGAAGCCAGGGCTTGAGACGATGCACTTGCAACTTGGGCCACGGTGCCTGCATCGCGGGTTCTCCTTGACTGCGCCCAAGCCGAGAGCACCTGCAAGGACTGCACACCCAATCCAGGTCTTTGGCAGAACATCGCCAGAACGCTCGCCACCTCATCCCCCAAAAAGGACCCCGAAGTGCTTTGAAGCTGGCCGAGCATAACCTGCAGCTGGTACAGCGATCTGTCGTCTTGGCTCACGCGTTTTAGCAGGGACGTCTGCCCGATTTTGCACAGCGCAGCGAGCACGGCCCCGCCCACGTCACGGTGGCTCTCGTAGAGGGACTCAAGCAGAGCGACAAAGTTGGCATCTGACCCGTTGAAGAGGCCGAGCTCGCTCGAATCCCGGAGCAGCGCCACACGCTCTGCCACTTTCAAGCGGCTCTGGAGCGCAGCTTCCAGAGCGTTCTGCGCATCAATGGGGCCAAGCCTCCGCAGCACGTGCTGGAAGCTGCGAGCGGCTTGTTTGGAGTTGCCCTGTCCCAGCTGCCTGGAGATTAGCTGAAACACCTCCTTGGGCCGGTCGGCGCGAGCCATGACAGGGATCAGCCGGTCCAGAAGCCAACCGGCCCGGCCTCGGGCTATGGCCACGGCCGTGTTGTCCTCTTGGTGCTCTTGGTTCAAGGTTTCGGTGCAGGCCTCCAGCACGCTGCCCAGCTCCTCAGCGCCTAGCGCTGGCAGCGCCAGACGCAGGCGGCACTGCGCCAACTTCACTTCCCAGGGGATGGTGACTTCCTGGAACTCCCGGAGCCCCAAAGGCCCCGGATCCAGCCAAACATTGGCAAAGGACCGCTGCAGCGCCACGGGCCAGGAGAAAAACTGCCGAGGACCTCGGGTGCTTAGCTCTTATGCCTGCGACCTCACAGGCAGAATACGGTTACCATCATGCCATGCACGCATCTCGCCTTTCCATTCCTCGTTCAAGAAGTGCAGAGGACAGCCGCTACAGTTCCAGGAGGCCATGAGGCGCTGGAGCTGTTGCAGCTTGTCGCTTTCGAAACCGACCAGCAACTGAATCGCCTCGGGCTTGTGCTGCCTCGGCATTGCGAGGGTTGTCTTACATAGGGTGGCAGAATAAAATTTCAGTGCTGACAAAAACCCCCGAAGACTAGACTAATGGGTACAAGCTACAAGGCCCTGAGAAGCACTCGGGAGGTGCAGAGCAGCTCGGCTTTCAGCGATGCGTCCTGGCGCCTCCATCGAGCGAGCAAGGACGCCCTTCCCGACCTCTGGCGCGCCACCAGCTCCTGAGACCCTCTAAGGTTTTTACTTTAAGTTTACTAAGTCTACTACAAGTGAATGGCTCCAAGGGTTTACTATCGGAATGGAACTTGAGAATTGCAGGGCTTCACGAACTTGGGGCTTGGTTTCGCCAAATGCCCTTCCACATAGCTCCACCCAACTTCGGCCTAGTCGCTTGTGCTCGCTCGCGCAACCGAATATTGTTGGTGACTTCGCCTATGCGCTTGTTGGTGCTGCGCTGCTCCACGACGTGCGCGTCGGGCCAATCGCAGAGTCGGTGCAGCAAAGGTGCCACGCCCGAAAAAGTCTCTGCCGATCGACATGCTCCGCCCCACTGCTGCGTTACCACTCCGGCGAATTGTCGTTTCTGCCACTCCGCCATCGAGTCCCAATTTCCGCAGAGTGCCTCAAGAAAATATCTTTTAAAAAAAGCCATGCCGCCGTGCCCCCTGCCAAGCGCCTGCACTAGCTCGTTGAAGAGAGCGCCGTTCCGCCGCTGCAGGTGCCGAGCCTCCGGCCTGCCCAAAAACTGCACTGCCAGCGACGTGTGCCAGGGAAGCGCCGAGCCCATGCGGCCGACAAAGGTCTGCCACCAGGAGCTGCAGAGTTGGCACAGGCATCGCACCGCCTGCTCCTTCTGCACAAAGCTTTTCAAGATTCCAAACCAGTCAAGTCGTGTGCCCCAACCTCAAGGTGCTAGGGCCACTACACGACCTTTGCAAAGGCTCCTGTGCCCATGTGAGGTTCTGGGAGTCCTTCAGGTGGGCAAAGGACGGCAGAAGCCTCGGCCATTCCAGAAACCCGCAACGTAGCCCTAAACCTTGTAACGGTAGGCCCCCAATTCCCAAGCCAAGGAGCACAGACTGAAGCGCGGCCTGGGCCCAGGCCGCGGCCGAGAAGTGGATGCTGTGGATTCCCTGGGCTGAAGGATGTGATTAGGGGCCATGAGCTTCTGAAGCCTCAAGTTGCAAGCTGAGAGGCTGGAAACCCGGCCACACAACCCGGACACCCTCACTACCGAAGCTGAACAAGGGCATTCAACACGTCAATGAAGGTAGGTGAACCTGGGGAGAAAACACCTTTCTTTTCAACGCACACAGTACCTCCCTCCCTAATCAGGCCTGCAGAGCAGTCGCGACGGTCTCCCGCAGCAACACAGCGAAGGCTGCACCTCAAGCCGGCATCGGGGTTTTGGGATGTTTTGGGGCTCAAGGGTTGCTGACACTCGTAGCGTTTGGGGCTTGCATGGGCTTGCTGTGTCTCTTTCGTGTTTTATGGCTTTGGGCTTGTGTGCAACCCACCTGGTTTGAGCACTGAATCCTGAACGCACACGTATGGTCAGTCTGATCCCTTAAGCCAGAACCAGAGTTCATTGGCTTTATGCCCTGGCACAGGCGTTGGTGATGTCGGGCACCGTGGGGCGGCCGCCACTTGGCAGTTTTCGAAGGAATTCGAGGCGCTGGCTGTCCCACTGAACCAGCAGCGCGCAGGCCTACGCAGGCCAACCGAGGTTTGGGGTTGAGGGGAACGCTTTGACGCTTTAGGGTTTCGACGCTCTCGGACATGCTAGGCAGAGAGCAGACAGTAAAACAACTCGGGTTTGGAGTTTACGACAAGGTCGAATATGAGAGTGGCTCCGGTCCGCCTGATCGACCCTCCGCGAGTCCAGCAACGCCCGAATGCTGGGCCGCAGGAAATCCACGAGCCACGGAAAAGCGAGAAAGGCCAGTTGCGGCTCCAGCCGCGCAGTTTGACAGAGGACACCGGATCCAAACTCCGCATCGTTCGCGTTCCAAAGCAAGGCGTCAGTCAACTGCGACTTCACTTCCAGTGCAAACGTTCCATATGCGCCCAGCCCGAGTTCAGTGCGCAAGGCCGCACCATTGGCCATCAGGGCCTCGACCAGCAGCCGCCAAACCGACAGAGACTCCCAACTGGTGCCTTTGGCCTGCACGGATGACGTGAGCAACTGTCTCAGGGAAGGGATGTGTACATCCTGCCAGACAAGCACCGGTACTTCAACCATCTGGCGAAGGACGCCTGCCCGCACATTGTCTTGTTCATTCCGGAGGCGGAGGTCGAAGAACTTCAACGTGTCTGTCACTGCCACTGGCCCATCTCTGCCTGCACAGAGGATCAGGCTGCAGAGTCCTGCTTGCCGTGCACTCGCGTTGGAACTGCTGCAGCGCTTCTTGATCTCCGCTTCGACATCTGCGTAAGGCTGCCAGGACAATGCCTCCAGAAAATTGCTATCCGGAGGCCCTCCTGCAACTTCCGGAGGCTTCTTTTCCGTGAGCTTCTGCGTCAAGAGCCTCCTGCAAACCGTCTTCGAATCCGAATGTCCCAAACTAGCAAGCTTGAAAAATGTCGGGTTCGGATGTGTCGAGACCTAGTGTTCAAAATAGCAAAACAAATCCAGAAGCCCGGAAATCAGGGTTGCCTGGCTTGCGGGGTCCACTGCGCAAGGCCCGAGATGGAGGCCGGTGGGTGAGGCATGGAATCGACCAGTGCGGAAAGCGCCTCCTCCAGGTCACGGTCCTGATTCCTGCATGTCAGGGGCGAGTGCTCTTTGGCTGGCATCTGAAATCTGGCAAACTGACACGAAAGAAAATCATCAGGGCAACCTTCCTTCCAGCAATGTGCTGAACCTCCCAGCCCCCGCACGACCGTTCAACTCCGAACCCGAGAGCTGCGGACCCGAAGCTTGGCCACTGCAGGTCCCAAAGTTCCCCTCAACCCGAAGTTCCCAAGACTCCAGCTCTTTGCCGTCTAGATTCTAGATCCTGGAACCCTTAACGCCGAGGGGCCAAGGCTGGAGATCCTTCAGGCAGCCCCCGAGATGCTGGAGGCCCAGCCGGCTGAAGAGGGCTCCGAGCTGCTCCTGCTTTGAGGGTTTCTGTTTTCGTTCGGGCCGGGCGGGTTTCCAGGCACAGATCCGCACACACACGCCTCAGAACGGCGCTTGCCACGCGGACGTAAGGGATGACAGCTGACACGGCTCACGAAATCCGGAACAGAAATGTAATTTTGATCAGGACTCGGAACCTGACTGTACTGCTGAAACACACGTACATCACAAGAATCCCGCAGATCCCCGGCAAGTCCGAGGGAGTCGACCCAGTCGTGGCCTTTTGCCGGCATACAACTGTCGCCAATAGAAGAACCCGGCATACCCTTGCGAGTGTAAGAGTTGTGCTGGGGGACATGCGCACTACGCTGCCTGCCGACATGGCTTGGTGGGGCTCTTGTCTTGCAGTGTCGATAATAATACTTCGGACTTAAGGACTGGCATCTCCCGAGGGATATGGTTCGATGTCCAGCAAAGTGGACCCTCACAAAGTAAAGATGGCCTGATGTCCTTGCTAGGCTGCTAGGGGAAGTTTGTTTGACAGCTTTCTTCATTGACGCTAGGCTTGAAGTGATTGCATTGGGCACTTGAAGGCTTACCCGTGCTCCTTCGAGAGTGGCTTTTCTGGCTGCAGCGCACGAAAGAGAGGAGCGGGATCGGCAGGATCCTCCGCTTTCATCCAACTCACAGATTTAATTAAGAGCGGGTACAGCTGCACAAAAAAAACACACGAGATGCCAGATACATGGGAGCTCTGCCTCGACCAGCTTGACTGCGACCTCCAAGGCGAGTGGCCACGAATCTCCCCGCCCTTGGTTCTCTTGGCCAGTGGCAAGCACAGCCATTTCGCCGCAGCCCCTTGGGTGGCTGCAACAGACCGACAGGACATCAAGAGCAGCCTCTACGTAACCAAACTGGTGACACCATGGTTCGCCTCATGCTATTGAACGTGTCGCCCACATACTCAGCTGAAGTTATTGTTGCAACTCCACCAGAACCATCACAATCATGGTGAAGCAGCTGTAACTTGAGGGACTGTTGAATTGCTGGCAAACCTTGCTCCCACTAAGTGACTATCTCAGCGACCATGCGTCAGCTAGTTTTACTCCAATTTCTCGTCTAGCCGTCAAGCCGGGACGTGCCTGAACCAGGAATCCGGAGCTTCGGGCGCCTAGCTTTTACTGCGGGAAAGGTGCGGGCACACACGCGCAGAACGGCACCCCATTGCTTCAGGTCTGCACGGCCAAGACCAGGCAGCCGAGCCACCGCTGCCAATCCCTCCTTGGAACTCTTGATATTTGCAAAATCAAAGCCCAGTGCCAAGAACAACGGAAATCAAAAAGTCATTAGAAAGGGCTTGGGATTGCCTGGGCCTAAAAGCGCAGAAGAGTCTGAGAAAGTAGAGAGCGCAGCCCAGCGGCCTGGGGTGCCTTCCTGGAAAGACCCTGCAAAATCCACAGGAACAGCTTCGGCTGCGCTGCGGCCTGTGCTGCGCTTGATGTTTTGGCCCGCCGGCTCGGGAGGTAGGCTCGGAATTGGCTCGGAGAAGGGTTGACCGGCTAAGGGCCGTCTGTGGCAGAAACAACAAGGATAAGCGTTTAAATCTGCTTTGAAGCAACAAATCTCACACGCTCAAAAGCTTCATATCTCAACCCCTGCATCCCCACTGCACCTTCTTGAAAGCCGCTTGCTGTGCACACTGTACCAGAAACCCGAGAGCCGCTGGTGCGGAAGCCGCACAAGCCGAGACCACCTCCAGGCGAGGCAGGGCTCAGGGTTCCGGTGATTTTATGCAGATGTAAGTGCAGGCAGGTTGGAGCCTTGATTCATAGGCATTGAGGCTTGAAGGCTCCATGTGTAATACTCATCTAGACCCGTTTCTCCCGTTCCAATTCGGAATTGAATCATGACGATGTGAGGTGGAGGACTTTGGGTGAGCTGCCAATCTCGCGAGGTTCCGCCAGCCTGTACATTGACGGCCACAATGTCGTTGATCAGCACAGTTAGCTCTTTAGAGTTTCTAATTTTCCGCAAGTCAATGATTCTTGTTGTGGCTCTTTGGAGGATCCGCGTGCCTTGTGGAGCTCATGCTCCTTCCACCGCTGCGGGGCATCAACGATCAACTGTAGGGTCAGCTGCGGCAGCCGTGTTGCAATGGAGATGGCCGTGCTACAGGGCACTGGCAACTTGGGCCACCAGACTTCGACAATCTCTGGGTTTGCTCCTTTCAGCAGCCGGGCAGCCGAAGGGCAATCACTGGGAACTGAAACGAGTTTGTTGAGAAGCTCGGGGGTCACGAGGCCTTCCAAGGTAGTGCGACTCAATCGCCCCAGCGTACGCAGCGCCACACGCCGACGTGCCGCACTCAAGGAACTTGTTTCAACAACACCACCATCGCCGCAAAAGCCAAGAAGGCTGAGAAGTCTTGCAGGATCGGTCTTCAACAACGCGGTCAAAGCACGCACGCCCACAGCATGGGAACCGGAAGTTGCGAGCTCGGAAAGCCGCCCTGGAGACCCGAGCCAGGCAGCTTGAACAGCCCAGGCACCTCCACTACCACTGCCGGACAGCGCAGCTTCCCAAAGGTCCCTCAACAGCTCTTCCAAAGCCTCGCTGCTTAGAGCCCTGAGCTGCTGGACTGCGTCTCCGTCGTAAGCGCTGTGTTTGGCAAGCTGAACAACAGCATCCTGTGGCATCACAGAAGAACTCTACAAATGAGTACCTGGAATGTCGTGCACCTCGTGTTTGCTGTGATCTTCTGAGCCACGTGCTGGGCGGAAACATTGTCCACCATGCAGTTTGATCAACCCCGGCGACCTGCTGTTCCGTACAAACCGACGGCTCCACAGTTTCTTGGCATGCTCGGAAAATTTTCAATAAATACATTTCAACATGCAATGGCTCCACATCGCGGTTCAGATGCACAAGGCGCAAGAATGATAATGAGGGCCTTCATGGCATGCCGATGGCCTTCGTCCTCGATGAGTCACGACCCTTTCCTTGCAACACAATTTTTTTCACGCCCTGTTGCACATGCGAAGGCGTTGTTCCAAACGGTTTCGGAAACCATTGTGTGGATGCCGAGAAACCAGCATGAACATCATGCCAAGTTGCTGTTGTGGTTAGAGCTTGAAGGTGTTTTGGATTATGCAAACATTTCGAGCGCGAAACTTTCAACAGTCGACAATAATGAACCCTGAGAACGTGCCGACGATCGTTCTCACCAAGGAGAAAGATGAAAAAGCAAACTCGCCGAACATTCGGTCCATCAAAATCAAAAGACAACTGCGATGTCGGAGCAAATGTGCGTCATTGTCGCTCAAAATTTGCGGTTGAGCATGTGTTCCCGTTTTGGAGACGATGATTGGGAAGGATTTGGACGAGGACATTCCTGGTGCGAGTTTGGAACTGAAAAACGAATGTAAAGCACAAATCCTTGCTTTTCGAAGCATTTCATGATCAAATTGTTGCACTATGGTTCATTAGCTTGCCAGTACGTGTCAGCATTGTATCGACACTAACGTGCCACGTGCAACACGGCAGTGTTTAATCCAACGCGAAATCAAGCAGAGTGATGTGCTCATGTGGCGCAGTACGGTATGCAGATGACGTATAGCTATATGGCACATTCTATGCACTCACACGCGGTGTTCCCTAAAGCTGCTGCTAAGCAAACATCACTCGTTTCATGAGTTCCTCGCCCATAGTGCGTTGGTGAACCGCTTACGCATGAAGGACAGCGATGGCAGCACGCAGCTTTTTGCCGGACTGTCTAACACGAACTGCGCCTTCTGCACAGCGGACAGGTCCGCGTGTGCCCTGCCGCTGTGCCCACTCGCACAACTCAGACCAAGTACGCACTACCTTACGAAGCGTTGTCTCCTCTGCCGACGCCAGGATGGGATTCACAATAGCATCTAACACCCTCTTACTGGCTGTCTCCTTGCAATTGGCTAGCGAACCTGCTGACCTTTCGGAGAATGTCCACCAGGCAGGCGCAATGCTGAGCATTCGACTCTGAAGGCGGCACTGCAGACGCTAATGCACGCACAACTCCCTCACAAGGAACACGGATTGGGGTGGCAGTGGCAGGTTTGACTTGCCTACCGACGCTTGCGGACGACGTGCTACTAGTCTCTCGCACTGAGGGCACATTGCCGGGTGCTGCTGCCTATATAAATCTCACACCATCGGCGCGAGCCCGCGCTGGCACTCTGCATGAACAGCTTCCCACGCATCGGCCACCGCACGACCTGCCTCAGCCTCGGCCTCCTGCCGGCTGACAAAATAGAAAGCGAACCCCCCCCCGACTTTCTCTGCCGGCGCTCTGCATAAAGGTATCCATGCAGCAGAAAGGAACGAAGAACACAATCACTTAACTCAGGAAAGGCCCGCCCAGCAATTCTGGGTACACCTCACACTCTGAGGTTCACTGACACATGTTGGCCTTGTGCCAACATGCACCGCATTAGGTGGTAAGACTGGTAAGATAGGACTGAGGTGGAGCGCAAGAACGAATACTGTTCACCTAGCCTGCCCGAAGCACAAAACAGCAGCAAATTGCTGTGGGAGCTGTCTTTCATGTTGAAGTCGCGTGTACACCAGTTGGCACATGCACAACTGTTAGCGAGCCGCGGCCAGGCGCTGACTCTCAACCCGGCCTCGCTCTTCAGCTTGCAACACGGCGCAAGCGGCGCGAAACCTACCCCGTTGTTTTCGCTGTCGAGACAGGAGGCCGCTGGGGCCTTGAACCCACAGCCTTCTTGCGGCTCCTCGCACAAGCACGCGCCGCGAGCACGCATGCTGCCGTCCGCTCGGCTCTGCGTGAAGCCTACGTCTCCCGCTGGAGTGGCATCATCGCCGTGGCAGCGCAGCGGGCCTTGGCCAGCTCCCTGCTCGAGCTCCCCCTCGAGGCAGTTGCTGCCGCTGCCGGCAAACCGGCTGTGCATGAAGTCCTGCAGGACGCAAGGTGGCTCGACACCCCGGCTCTCAGCCGCCTCCCCGCGTGGACTTAAGCAGCCGTGGCTCGCAGGTGCAGTGGGACGTGTACTGTTCGCAGAAAGTGTGCGCGAAAAACAAATGAATTCCTCAAAGATCAGAATTTTCACAAATCCTGACGTTTCGTGGAAGCCTCATAGGTGATCGAATGAATGGCTCATTCGGGCCAGGAATGGTCGGAGACGAAAAAATCGAAAAGGCTTGTCCTTGAACGACCATCTGTGGTGGTCAGAACGTGCAACATGGTATTCATATCATCATATGCATCAAGCACTCAGTCCAAGAACGATTACCAGACGACAACCAAGCAAGGAACAACGAAAATGAAACTGCGAACATGCACATGACTGACTGGATTGTCAACTACGGCGCCACGGCTCAGATCACATCTCACACGCGGCAGCTGCTTGACACACAGCGCCAACAAACGCAACGTTGCGCAGAATGTCTCCAGCTGTGTTCACGGCTGGATCTGTGCAACACAAAGTGTGCAAGGACATGTCGCTTCGTCCACGAGTTTGGCACCAGCACCTGCGAGCTACATTATGCACTGGGCACTCAGACAATGCATGTGCCAGAGTGTCTGCCCCTGATGCGCAAAAGCGACACTGCGCATCACAGTTACAACCACGATGTCGGGCAGCCCGCCCGTCAGCAAAGTCATGATGACCACACCGGGCGAGACCCCAGAATCGCACATGATAGGCATGGCTGCTACGACCGTACGCAACGGGATGTAAACGTGGCACTGGCTGCCACTGCGAGTACAGCCGCAAGCTGTCAACATGATCCAGGTTTGAAGCATACCTTGCGTGGGACCTGTTGACCAAAATCAGCCGGGCATGTTGCAACCACTTCTTTACAACATCTCCTGCGCAACCGGCGTGGATACCCCATTCAACCGGATGCGGCACACCAGCGCTTGTCACATCACGTGACACGGACGAAACCCAAGATGAAGGGTGCTGGTCGACAGACCGTGCGAGCTGTCCTGCGAAGCAACTTGGTGGTAAGCTCAAAAGGCGGGCCCGTAAACCAGCTGCTTGAATGAGACGCATCGTTTCGGCATCATGCCACCCAAGCTGGCCTAGAACAGCGAGGTTAGGTGAACCACGCGGCCAGCACAGAAGACGCCGACCCCATGGAAGGACGCGAGTCTGAAAACGTGCAACCTGTGGGCCTGCGGAAACAAATGCAAGTCCAAAGGAGACAGAAGAATGCACATATGTCTGATAAATGCGTTCCACGAAAGTGGCAGGTCTGCAGACTTGGCCCAAAACAGGCATGCCGCCATCTTTCGCTCACCACGAGCAAGCAAAAGGTCAATGTGCCCTTTCCAAGACAAATTTTCACGCAAGCAAACCCCTAAATAAGTGTAAGTCTTAACACGCAGCAAACCCTGACCACCTAAAAAAAAGGCAGGTGCACAAGTGCGGCCACGACCACGGCCAAGAATCATGACTGCAGTTTCTGGGTGCCGATTCCAAAATGAAAGCACCAAGACAACGCCCAAGCATGAGCTGCATCAAGCGCGTGCTGCAAGTCGGCAGGGTTATCACTCAAAATGACGATGTCATCCGCATACAGAAGAAGTTTGACTTTTACATTTTCCCCGGACAAACCACAAGAAACCCCGTTGCATGCTCGCTTGATTGCAGCGGCGAGTCTATTAATCAAAATATTAAAAAGAAAGCCACTCAGGACTGCTCCCTGACCAATACCATCCTCAACATCCCACGTGCGAAAACTGCGAATCAAGACGTACAGCTGCCGAGCGATCTGAGATTAAGTCGTCAATCAAATGCCAGAGATCATTAGAGACACCAGCCCGGTGCAAACGCAACATGGCACCATCACGCCATGCAACGTCAAATGCCTTACGTATGTCAAGAAATGCACA